GCCGCGCATAATGTGCGATGCTCGCACAAGCAGGCCTTTCCCGTAGGCGTTTTCTCGCAGGATTTTGCCCATTTTTCCCCTTTTTCTCCTTAAAATTATTTTAATAAAAAAGATAACAAATTAAAATAATAATTATTATAAATAACAAATAAAATTAAAATTAAAATCACAAATTTAAATTAAAGATAAATTTAAATGAATTTAAATAGTCTTAAGACTCCAATAAATAGAAATTTTGATATGTAATTTAGGGTGATGGTGAGCCGGGTGTTACACAAAATATTTCAAAAAAATTTCCATCCACACGTTATATATATATACATCTCACATATATTTGTACAAGATGGCTGCAGGGGCTAAAACCCAAAATTATTTGTTTTCTATTCACATTATATATATCTCTTATATATATTTACTATGCCTAATTTTTCCAGCAGCCCAAAAGATTATGAATATATATCTCATATATATATATATATATATATTGCAGCTCCCTAATTTTTCTCTTAATAATTATGTATAAATAAAATAATAAATATGATAATAAAAATATTACTGCCATGTATTAAAATAAATTATTAAATAATAATGTATTTAATATATTATACGAATAATTAAATCTTGAACATAATAATTATATCTCAAACAACATGCACTATCCTGTAATAATATTGTTGTCTCACACTTAATAAATTATATCCCAAATCAAGTACAAATTGAATATTATGCAGGAGTTTTATTTTACCGTTGCTAGTTTAAAGTACCATTGTACCTTTCCTCTCAACTTGAATTTCATTTCCATTTCCAAGTTGAACTTTCACTTTTTGTGTTTTATCAAGCTTTTTGAACAAGGATTTATGCCATTCATATGATTTATACAACCACTATTTACAAACCATACATTACTTGAAGTATTATTAGTAGCAAAATGAACCATAAAAAACTTACTTTCTTCTCCAAAATGAACCATAAAAAACTTACTTTCTCTCCATTCTCTGCTGCATAATTCACTTGTTGATCTTTACACCAACAACTAGTTTTTTATGGCCATATTTCTTGTAATGATAGCATTGAATCCATTCTTGTGTTTACTTTACTCTCCAGACTACCTTTTTTGCCCATCAGATCGACCTTTGCCTCTGCCTCTGCCTCTGCCTCGACCCCTGCCACAACCATAAAATCCTCCTCTTCCTCGATCTTTACTTGTTGAAGTTTCATCTTCTCTTCTTTTGTTGGTTGTTTCCTACACTTAAAATTATTGTTCTTCATACTTTTTAAGTGATCGGTTAATTCTAATCTCATTTACTTGTAAAGACCCCATTAATTCATCAAAAGAAAAAATAGATAAATCCTTTTATTCTTCTATGGCAGTAACTACATGGTAAAATTTGGGAGTCAAGCTTCTCAATACCTTTTCAGTAATTGTTTGGTCAGTAATCTTTTCCTTATAAGATCGCATCTAACTGACTATTATAATAGTTTTGGACAAAAAATCATCAATAAATTCTTCATTTCTCATGACCAAGGTCTCAAAGTCACGTCGAAAGAATTGCAATTTCACCACGATCACCTTTAAATCACCTTGAAACTCCTTTTGCAGAATTAGCCAAGCATATTTTGATGTGGTTGTTGCTACAATACGTTAGAAGATGTTGTCATTGACAATCTACTGAATGATTAATAACGTCTTAAAGTCTTTCCTCTTGTTGTTCTTTAATTTGCTTCCTTCATCTGGATCTACATAGCCATGTTCTACCATGTCCCAAATGAAACACCCCGAAAATCTTCGTGCTTAATTTGTGATAAGAACTTATATTTATTCGGGTCCTAAGGCCATTTAAACTCCTTAATATTTCGTATTTTTAATTTTTTAGATGAATATCGTATTTCGTATTTTATTTGGGTTAAATAATTTTTGAAATTAATTATTTTATTTTATTGTAGGAAAATTATATTTTTATTTATTATTTAAAAAGATTTCGAGAAAAAACAGAGAAAAAAGGCAAAAAATTCAGCAGGAATGCCCGCAGCACACGGCAGGTTGGGGCAGCATGTGACCCCGAGCAATGTCGCCCCCTTGGGTGCCTTGCATTGTCGGTTGGGTGGCATGCTGCCGTCGGCTTAAGTAGCGCGCCGCTGCCGGCTTGGGAGGCATGCTAAGGCTGCTTGGACATCGTGTTGCCGTCGTTTGGGTGCGCCTATGATTTTCACACCGCCATTACATTGCATCGTCCATTTGTTAGTCGTCACATCTTACCTTTGCTATTGACTTTCTCTCTCTTCACCAAATTTTGACACTTGTTATAAATTTAACGGTCTCCATTTTTTATAAATAGGACCCCCACTTCACCATTTCCTCATCACTTCCATTTCCATTCTTCCACCAAAGAGCTTTAGAGAGAGAAAGAGTGATATAGAGAGAGAGAGGAAAAGAAGAAGAAAAATGTGCAGGAAACACTAAGGTTTCGGTAAGAAATTTAATATTTATTTTTAAATATACTAAGGAGCATTTCTAAAATAAAAATTAATAAAGTTTAAATTAATGATTGCATGGTTAAGTTTTATACTAAAAAATTTTACGTATTAAATGCATATTTTATGATCGTATATGAACTTATTAATTTGCGTGTGTAATTTAAATAATTTAATACTTGAGATAAATATTAATATGTGATGCAATTGACCATAGAAAAATAATTAAACATGAAATGATGTATAGATATGAGAAATATATATTGGTATTAGCATGTATAATTCATAAAATGTTTCGCTAGATTTTTTATCTCTGAGAGATTTTTGTTTCTCTCTTGTCTGCTCTGAAAAAACACGAGAGGAACACTCCTATGGATGATGACGTACCATCTGACGAGAGTGATGATGTGATATGATTGTAGGGATCACTTTTGGTGAAGTACGGTCATAACCATAACTAACATGTAGGACCACTATAGTTGATATAACCGCATTCATATATTATGTCATGATTTAGCAAACCGTAAATATGATGTTGGTTTGACAAGTCGCAAATTACTGTTATAAATAAAATAAATTGGTCATTCCGCATGTGTAGTCGAAAACCCTTATTGCTCTTAGTAAAAGGAAGTCGAAACGATTTCGCACAAAAAATAAATTGAAAGATATAGCATGATTTATTTAATTTTCTCTATTTTTAGCATGATTGATTTGATTGATATGATATGACTATGACATGATGGGTTTGATATATTTTTAATAAAATAAATAATTTTTAAAATTTATAAAGAACTCTGACATGACTCTTGACGGTAACTGATTATAGTACTTTTAATTAGTTTTAAATCTTATGATATTATTTAAATATTATTTTTCTTACTGAGTATATGGAACTCACTCCTTTCCATATCCCCCCAGATGAGGAAGATAGTGAGGAATCGATTACTAACCTATCCCTTGAAGTCTTTGAGGATCTCGTAGATCTATGATCTTTTATGAGTGCATAATTTATCTCGCACTTTGATAAGTCCATCTTTTGTAGAGGCTTCTAATTTAATTTTATTTCTACCTCATTGATATATATAACTCTATTATTATTTTATAAGGGATTGTAATTATTTATTCCATTAAATATATTTATCTATTATACACTCATAATCTGTTTCTTTATCTGACACCTTTATACATTAATTAATATTTGGGATGTCATACTAAAGATCTTGAGATTTGAGTGGAGTTTCTCATTTTTATACTCCAAAATTCATAACATTCTCATTTAAAAATGGGAATGAGTAGTTGTGCAACACTCATGCATTACCACTGCTTCCCATGATTTTTTTTTTTGTTTTAACCACCTCATGTGTTTATCTCTCTCTACTCTCTCAATATTTTGGCTCTGATACTAAAATTGTTGAAATAATTTGAGAAACAAAGTATTAGGAAATAGAGTTCTTGCAGATCAAGGAAAAAAAAAATTGCACAAAAACTTGTTGCAATCTACTGGTTTATTCAGAAATGAATATGCTTTTATATAAGCTTACAACCAAACAGAAAGGCTAAAAATCATTACATAATCTCCAAAAATTCTGTCACTAATAACAAATTAATTAGAAGCAAGAAAATAAGGAAGACTAACATGTATAAAATCAAAAAATATCTGCCGAAAACTATTTTGCATAAAATCAAGAAATACCTGCAGCATATTTTTGATTTATTCTTGAAACAATTTTCAACATCACATTCCTAATTTTATTGAATGCATTCCTAACCCTCTGTTTGAATCATGGTAAATGGTAGAATTTTAGTGTATGGTATTTTACGGACGTGAGAAAATCGTGTTTGTTTCAACTTCCAATAATAACAAATGTTATTTGACTGGTAAATTTTGAAGTGAATTTTTAAACTACTAAATTAGTGGTATTTGGTGGGTATTCTATTTGTTCTCCATTATACCCCTATCTAATTTAATTAATTTCATATATGTCATGATAATTAAAAACTTATTAAATTAATATAATAATATAAATAATTATTATTTATTTTATTAAATATAAAATTTTAATTTAATTATGTATAATAATTATTTATTTAAATACAAATATAATTATATTGATAAATATTTTTTTTTTCTTACATACTTCTTTTATACTATTTACTATTACATATAATATGTAGGGTAAAT